TCCTTTGTTTTTTTAACTCATTCAGTCCAATCTGTGTTGCCCTTACATTGCTGGATGGGTAGCCTGCCATGGAGTATAACCAACTTATCAAAAACTGCCTCTCCCTTCCCGGCAGTATCCGTTGTCACTGGCTCCTTGGCTAGGGTGGGAGGTACTGCCGCCTCCTTTCTTCATGCTGGGATTTGGTATGGCTTTTGCTTGCCTAAGTCTCGTGCATGCTGTCGTAGCTGTGGTCCATCACCTTTCTTACCATTTCTCCGCAATCAGTAACTTCCGATAGAAGCTTGTTTACTCAACCTTGTCTCTAATCATACTGTCATGAAAGCTAAATTAGTAAATGCAAGAAGATTACCATACACACCAGATACGAAATGTGATGATTCATCCTTCAATTTCTGTTGTCCTTGCCAATTTTGTACACTGTTAGCTTGCATGGGATTGGTTTTTAAATATTTAAATAGAGAAATATTAGCCTTTTTATCAAGTACCTTACCTATTCATTAATGTAAGTTGCTTTTTCTCTTTTGCATTAAGAGTTGAAGATGCTTTTAAGAACCTCTTTTGTCTAGTTATTGCTTTGTTGTTAATTAGTATAGATGATTTGTACATGATAGTAGTTTCATAATGACATTATCAAGCATGGTATTACTTTATCTTTAATATGATCTTCAAAAAATTTCTCCATTTGAGGAACACCTCTAAGCCTAATTATAATTAATACAAGACATGGCTTAAGATCTGTATGTTGTTTTCCAGTACTGAAAAAGCAAAGGGAGGAGGATCAGGATTTTATATTCAGTTTTGGCTATATAATAGAACCACATCTCAAAAAAACTTATATACATGTGTATCTTAATATCAATACATTTCCTCATACTTGGGCCCCATTTTACTATAGATAATTAGAAGATCTAATTTTCTTGATTTTGATGTTTGACAGTGTCAGGTGTTAACTTCAGTAAATTAACAGAGAACAGTAGCTTATCAGAAATGGCCAAAAGTAATACATTGTCTAATACTGTTTATGCATTTAACATGCTCATATATGTTTCAGTTTTGCTGACAACAACCATATATGTTAAGAAATTAGAGTCGTTTTCCCTAATTTACAGTCAAGGAACCATTTAGTCTACATACAGTTCATTAGACTTTTAGTCCATATTGTATCATTCAAAGTATCTTTGAGTCTAAAAGGGCAATGTCCTACTTTAAATATGGAGAAACATGCATATAAGTATATTTTAAAAGGAGTTGTTCTTGAGAACGTGATGTTGAATGGCAGCCAGTCTGAGCATCCAGTTTCAGTCATAAAGGACGTTTCTCATTTTAAGATATGAAAACACTAAATGATGCAATAATTTCCATCAAACAGTAACACATCTAGATTTAAGAAACTGGCTTCTTTTCTCCCAAATGATGGTGTTGAGCATGGATAGAATGGCACCTGCGACATGCAGACACTTGGATGCCTGACTTTATTATTCTAATTTTATCTTGAAATCTGTACCAAAAGTCACAGGAACTGGTCCATACATTATTTCAAGAACATAACTTCTAATGTACCAATACTTTCAAGATTAGGAGACAATTCTGACATCACTTAGAATTTTAGCCATTGGGATTTGTATATTAGTAAAACAGTTGATTAGCTACCGGATCTCTATATTCATGTGCTTTTACAAATTGTTAAAGAAATAAATACAACTTGAAAGTTCCCTAATACATTATATAATTCAATACATTAGATGGAATGTTTAAATTTAAATATTGGTTATGACATCCCCATAAGTAGTCCATGCCTCCATTTGTTTAAAGTATTTGTATTTCATTATACTGTGGCAATACTGAAGCATAATCAGTTCAAACTGGCATGTGCCCCTGTGAAAATAAGAGCTAGTCTAGAAATTCAAAGCAGGCTCACTGCAAAGCCAAGAGAAAATCAGACATAAAGGTAGAATGCATTCAATACATACTATCCTGTTGCTTTCATCCTTGGGTTTGGGGGTTACTTCTGAAGTCATTCGTTATAAGCAAATATGTACTTACCACATGTGCTAAGATTTCATTAGACAAAAGTTAATTAAGCATTCTATGGTAAGTAATGAGAGAAAAGAATAAAAACTGAGAGAATACATACATTAGTAAATACAAGCAGAACATTTTTATTAATCATATGTATGTATTGTGTATTGTCTAGTGCCAAGTGATATATTCAATGCTAAAGATTGGAAATATGAAGGCTGTCATAGAGCCCATGTGACATAGACTAGCAAAATATTACAATGTATCATAAAACCAGTGCTGTAATGAAAGTGAACACTGAGCAGTGTGCAAGCACAGCAGGAGACGTTGTGGAGGATCTGAGAGCACATCCTAGGCAGGATTCCTGAATCTGATTCAGAGGATGGAGCTCCTAAGGCAAGAGGATGGGTTTTCAGATAGGTGAAGTTGTGTACGTTAGGCAGCGAGAGGAAGCATGGAAGTCAAGAGCCTGTCAGTGAACAGTTAAGTGCAGGCGTTGTCAGAGGGACATGGATGAATAAGTCTCCTCTAAGAATTGGGGTTCTTGTATGAGTGGAAGGAGTTATTGAAGGTTTTATAGCAATTCAGTAACATGATTAAACACATATTTAAAAGATCACTGGTAGAGAGTTATTTTTTTCAGTTGTATTTGGAAGGTCTTGCAAGTTAACAGTACACATGAATATTTAGTGAAAATAAAGTTCAGAAATTATTCATGTTTTGCACCACTTATTTTTAGCTATTTGGTTGTTTGTAGGAGTATAATAATAGACTTTATTAATCAATTAATATAACCCAAATTAATAGACCAAATCAAATATGAAGATTTGGAAACTAAGTGCTAGTTATTATTTATTGCTGTACCTGCCCCTTTGCTTAATTGTCTGTTTAGTGTTGTTCCTACTTGTGGCAAGTCAGAGGGTACTGCTAGGTGATGGCATCTGAGTTCTCATACGTTCTGTATTGCCTGACCCTTCCTCCAGTGCTGAGTGTGTAGTTACAGTGAAATGTCATGCAAAAGAAGAAAATAGAACTCAAAATAAAAGGACTTAGAAATAAATAGGAAGTGCCTTGTCCCTTAGTGACCTTCCACATTATAAACTACCTATGGATTTCTCTCTGCTATGAAGATTTCTATATTGGAAGTAAATGTAAAGGACTGTAAAGACCTACAGAGCCCAGCCTAAGTCATATAGTAACTTCTGGACCTAGTAATAGTCCTGGAATCTAATTGGTCTAGAGACCAAGGCAAGAGATAAGTTCAAGGCCTGTTTTTGATACAGAATGAGTTCAAGGCCAGCCTGGGCAACTTAAGATCTTGTCTCAGAATCAGTACGGTAAGAGCAGGGTGGAACTCGGCTATAGTATCTGCACTTATTCTCAAGCCCTCAGATGACCTCAGGAAGGAGGGGAGAATCATAACAGTCAATGCCGGGATACTAACACATTTCCAGTTCGTCTTGAGGACTGGGGCTAGACTACCAGTTTAGACTACACTCAGATTTTATAGATAATTATGATTACTTAGTAAACTTAAGTTGATATAGTTGAGACTGAAAAATAAATGAGTATCATAATGTACTTCCAAGAACTAAGTAAAAGAAGATGCTTATTTTGGTATTTTGACCAGACTGTAGACTGTGGTCATAATTTCAATTATCTGTGTGAACCCAGCAAGCTAACCGTTAATAGCTACAAAGCCTATTTAACTTAATGCAACTTAATTGCACACCAGCTCTCCAAAGCTTTCATTTCCGTGAATATTAATTGAGACGCTGAACAAAATGGTTTTTTTTAAGTTATATACAAGCAACTGGTTTCTCATATAGCACTTTATCACATGACTCTAAGACAAATACATTCCTGCATAAACAGTACGTATTTATATTTGTATAACTTACATGATTATATGTGTATGATACACTGCATATTCAAAACATTAATTAATAAAGTAACATGGCTCCTACTGAGATCAGATTATATACATCATCAATTTAAAGTTATTTCATCACAAGGTAAAATGTTGTGGAAAAATGTGTTTCTGCCATCTTTTTAAACTTTTTTAATCAGGAATTAGTTCAAATAATAAAGAATTAGAGAACTTTGGTGTAGCTTTTTATTTTTTCATAAAAGAAAATTGGATTGTTATTGTATTAAGAGCTGTCAAAAGAACATACCCAGGGTTTGCCTAAAATTTGTCGTGTTAGGCTTTCCTGGTCAGTACTACCCGTTCTGAACACTGCTGCCAGCCAGATGACAGGTTTAAAAACAGCCCCGTTATGATAAGGCATTGGCTGCAGAAGCAGTAAGCACAGTTGTTGTGGTGGTATCCGTGAGGTATTGGTCCGAAAATCCACAGGATGCCTTACAATTACCACATAACCTGTGTGTCTCCTCCTGTACATTTTAAATCATCTCTAGCTTGCTTGTAATACCTTTACATTGTACCAGCTGAAGAATAATGACCAAAAAACTTGTGTTCAGCGTGAATGTAATTTTTTTCCCAAGTATTTTCCTATCTGCAATTGATTTGAGTCCATGGATACCATGAACCGTCTGTACCTCCTTTAAGTTAATTTTTTTTTTTTTCGCTTGCACGCTATCACAGTTTTTACCTACTCAGGCTAATTTGCAGGTGCCTGGGATGATTAGACAATCCATAATTTCTACCAATCAAGTAAAAGAAGGAAAGAAAACTCTGAACTTCTCTCCCAGTTAACAGGTAGTTTGCTGTGGTTAAAATTAATGCAGATTTTGCAGCAGCCAACAGTTTTTTATTTATTATAAGTAATTGATTGAAAGTTTGGGAAATGAATAATGAGTGCCTCATTTGAGTGTTTGACGTTTACTTAGTGCAAGAAACCATTTATATTTTTTGTATATGTTATAGTAAATCAGTTTGTTTCACTCTTCATTTTAACATTTTTAAAGTACTTGTGTGGTTACTTTGACTTTAAAATCTCTTTTGTTCCTTGCAGTGTTTGAGCAACACACCTCCACTTACTGAGTATTTCCTCAATGATAAGTACCAAGAAGAACTGAACTTTGACAATCCCTTAGGAATGAGAGGGGAAATAGCTAAGTCGTATGCTGAACTGATCAAGCAGATGTGGTCTGGAAAGTTTAGCTACGTCACTCCTAGAGCATTTAAGGTTAGTACGGTAAACTTACTTTCATCAAGCATACTCTTGTTCCAGGGAGGGATCCTCAGACGAAAGGGATGAAGTCCCATTACAGTGTCCCCCGATCTCATAAAGACAAGTATGTTCCATCCATGGGATATAAAACTTCAGGGCATAGGACAGAATGGGTGATTAGGACTTTTTGTTTGGTTTTTGTTTTCTTAATCTGTAGAGATGGGCCGGAGAGGGGTGGCTCAGACATTAAGAGCACTGTCTACCTTTCCAGAGGACCTGAGTTGCCAGCACCATCATCAGGTGGCTCAGAAATGCCCCTGCAACTCAAGCTGGAGAGGATCTGATGCCTTCTTGTGACCTCCACTGGCCTTGCACTCATGTGCAAACTCACGCCTGCACACACAATCAAAACTAAGTCTTTATGAAGAAGGCTGTCAGTAGAGGGAAGGAATAATAAGGGGGACAAAAAAGACTTTAATGTAGTTGAAAATGGTTTAGAATGTTTTAGGAAACCATGGATATTTGATGTGATGTAAAGAACTTCCTTCAGGTATGCCACTAAGTCTAAGTGACCTAGTTTATCCTGTGGTCATGCAGATTGTTCTTTTCAGTAGTTCTTACACTCGGGTGTTTTTGTGTGAGCTAGTTCCTTCTTAGATCTTGCCCTAAGTTATTGTAAGCCATAGTCTTCATAGGTAAGTGGCATCCCTAGAACATCTGCTATAAAATCTTTTGTTAATTATCTACCAGTTCTTAAAAAATGAGTCAGAACATGGTCATGCAGTTAAGAGCACTGGCCACTCTTCTGTGGGACCAAGGTTTAGCTCCTAGCACCCTCATGGTAGCTGCCTTCCATCTGTAACACCATTCCCTGGGCCAAGGCAGGGAAGAGGGTGTCTGACGCCTTCTTCAGGTCTCCACAGACCCTGCATGCAAATGGTGCAAAGAGAATGCAGGCAAAACACCCATATACAAAATGGTAAGGGTTTGAAACTAAGTATGTGATTAAAAATGAGTGAGTCCTTTGACCTCTATGTGTGCGTACAAACAATAAATAAATGTAATTAAGACACCCAAGTGAAAATGTGAAACAGGCAATCAAACTGCTCCTGCGGTTATTCTTTCACATTCTAAACCTTGGGAGACTTGTCCGGGCAAACCAATCCTCAGCAGTTTGATTTTGCTAGATTGCTTCCTCTTGAACTTTCCTGTAGATACACACCTATTAATTGCCAGACCTTTCTTATTCTCTGATTCATTCTCTGATTCAGATTGTATTTCTCTTAAGTCGTATTTAAAATCCTACTACTATGAAGATTAAGGAAAATTGTAGAACTGTAATGTGCCTTTTGGCCATCAGATTTGTCCTCTTTTTTATAATGGATAAATGAGAGATTTGTAGTTTCTCTTTAGTGACTCAGTGAAATGTTACTAGCTTTTACGTCTCCAATGTTTCACAATGTCATGTATAAAGGTTTTCCATGTTTACTTTTTATTTGGTTCTCAAGTCAGTGTTTCCTGAAACTTAGAAAGTTATTTCAGAATGCTTTTAGAGATATATTTCTGTGTGTATAATGTTTACATATTAATATAGCTGGCATTAGAACCTGTCCCTTGTTGTCTGCCTGCCTGCCAGTCATTATAGGAAGACCTGTAGCTAAATAATGCCCAAACCCCTTAGATGAACAGTGAAATGCTGATTGATAACAAGCCTGTGCAAGGCCACACAATGATTAATGCATTTAGAGAGAGTGCTTTACGTCGTTTGTATGTGTATTTTTTCTTCATTTTATTTTATTTTGCAATGGATTCTTTCTATATTGCCCAGACTGGTCTCAAATTCCTAGACTCCAGCATTTCCTGTATTAGCCTCCTAAGTTCTGGGATCACTGGCTTGTCACTGTGCCTAGTTCTATTTTTTAGAGCATCCACATGTTGAATAAAGATAAAGATTTATCACATCTTTACTGGAAATGCAAAACAAATAAACTACATCTATACATCTGCATGTGTGTGTGTGTGTGTATAGCATATTTGTGTTTACCCCTATTTTGTATAAATACAATCAGCTTTAATTTTTCACAAAAGTTATTTTCCATAACATTAGCACAAATTAAGTTAACAACTACAGAAGCACATTCCTAGGGGAAGTGCAGGGTTTGATTCCACCAAGACTTTGGTCACATTTTCATGAATCCACCAAGCATTCTTTATCTTAAATATATGACTGTTTGAAAAGCCCCTATTTTGTGTGGTTGACACATTAATACTGATTTCATAATCAACACTATAACTCATTTTTACCAAAATTTATCCAATTGTGTTTTCCCCATAAAGCACACTACCACTCCCTGTGTTTATGACCTCTAGCCAACGCCTTAGCAGTCTCCTTGGGGAATGTTCTATACACTAAATAGCCTACCTGGAAAGCACAAAAATGTAAAGAAGAAAACATTATAAAAAAAACAATTAGAAAATGATGCTGAAACTAAAAGGCAGTATAGCTTTCTTCCCCCCAGAGAAGGAACAGTTTTTTTACTGGAACATGTCTTCAAATGATTTTAAAATGTGTCACAAATTTGACTTGGGGAATATAAGTAATTTTTAATAAATGGGTAATTTCTCATGTATGGACTCATGAATAATAAGAACAACTGTGTGCTTTTTAAGGACTGCTGTCTGATTTTGTTGTTTTGTCGGTCTTACAGACACAGGTAGGACGTTTTGCACCTCAGTTCTCTGGATATCAACAGCAAGACTGCCAAGAACTGTTAGCTTTTCTGTTAGATGGACTCCATGAGGATTTGAATAGAATTAGGAAGAAACCATATATTCAGTTAAAAGATGCCGATGGCAGGCCAGACAAGGTGAGTGGACTTGACGCTGCTGTCCTCACTGCCACGGCTCCCTCACACGTCAGTGACCTGTCTTCCTCTCCTTGTAGGTGGTTGCTGAGGAAGCCTGGGAAAACCACTTGAAAAGAAACGATTCTATCATAGTAGATATATTCCATGGCCTTTTCAAATCTACTCTAGTGTGTCCTGAGTGTGCTAAGATCTCGGTGACCTTTGACCCTTTTTGTTACTTGACACTTCCATTGCCCATGAAAAAGGAGCGGAGCCTGGAAGTTTACTTAGTGAGGACGGATCCACTTGTGAGGCCTATGCAAGTAAGTCGTGACCTTTTCCTTTGTCGTTGTTTTTTCTTCATTAGTGACGGGGCCAGGATAAAACTGGTCGGTTTCTCCAGCACAATTCAGTCATAAAGAGTATTGTGTAATAGATTTTTTTTTTTTTTTTTTGGTTTTTTGAGACAGGGTTTCTCTGTGTAGCTTTGCGCCTTTCCTGGAGCTCACTTGGTAGCCTAAGCTGGCCTCGAACTCACAGAGATCCACCTGGCTCTGCCTCCCAAGTGCTGGGATTCAAGGCGTGCGCCGCCACCGCCTGGCTTAGATTTTATAAGCTGAATACTCTGGAAGTTACACCTTTTTAGAATTATGGAAAGTTGAAGGATATCATAGAAAAATAAATTTCTGAAATTTCTTTCTCACATCAAAGACAACCAAGATGTTTGTTTTATTATTTGGGATATTTGCTTAAAAGATTAATAACAGTACTATTGTCTGTATTTTTTTCTATCGAAATTTTTTATTCATTTATGTATATAAGTGTTTTTGCCTGCATATGTGTCTGTGTACCACATGTGTTCCTGGTACCGTGGAGGCCAGAAGAGGACATTGGCTCCCCTGGACCTGGAGATGTAGATGGTTATGAGCCACCATGTAGGTGCTGGGAATGAGCCCAGGCTCCTGTATGGGAACAGCCCGTGCTTTTAACCTCTGAGCTGTCTCTGACTCCCACCTGGTGAAATTTTTTATGTTCTAGGTTTTATCCTGATTGCCTCCAGAAATAGAGCTAATAATGTATTTTGTAATTTGTGATGTGATCATGCATTGAAATATCAATAATCTTAAGGCATTTCAACAACTTTGACGAGAAATAAAACATTAGTGTAAGAATACTTGGTTCAGGGCCAACAGGGATGCCTCAGCCAGGTTCAGGCAGTTGCTGCCAAGCCTGACAAAGCTGAGTGAGTTTAATCCCTAGGACTCAAGGGGTAGCAGGACAGAACCCGCTCCCACCGGTTTTCCTCTGACTGCCACGGGTGTTACAGCATGCACACATACACAAATAATAAATGAATTTTTTTTTTTTTTTTTTTTTTTTTTTTTTTTTTTTTTGGTTTTTCGAGACAATAAATGAATTTTTAATTATAAAAATATTTGGTTAAATGATGTTCTAGTACTTTAACAAAATATTATGTTTTGCTTATTCTATACAAAGTTCCTGTGGTGCACATTAATGTCAGTTGGCTTTATTATCTCCATTGCCTAGTGCTATCACTGGATTACTCAGTGTTTTATGAGAAAAATGCTACATTTTCTATGTTTTTAAATCAATTATTCCTTTTACATTTGACCTTTTCTGGTGAGATTAGCTCCTTTTTGTTCCTCCACTGCAGAATTCAACAGATTTTATTTTGACCTTTGTCTTCTTTTCTCAACTGCCCAAGAGCTCTTTGTAGGCAGGGAGCTTGTAGTTCCAGAATGTGACTTGTACCCAATGCAGAAGGGTATCCAGATCTTTATTACTCACTCAATGCTTTTTTCCCTAAACAAAGCAGATTTGGTTCCTACTTTCAAAAATTGTTTACTATAAATTCCTAAGTTAGGGTTCTAGCCAGATAGCGCAGATTTCTTGGTACATGATAGAAATGAAATCTGTATGAAAACTATCCTATAAACAAAGTTGTCTTACCATTGATGCTCAAAGTGGAGTTTATTTTACTCTTAGTAAGAACAGTGTCTATGCAATGTTCTGAAAATGACCAGCTCCTTCATTCACAGTGATGGAAGGATTGAGACAAGCTTGCACTTGTGTTCAGGGTTACACCTGGTAGGTACATGAGGAAACTCTAGATGGAGATACTCAATATTCATTACGTTTACAAGTTTAAAGAGAAGTGCTTGGGTTTTAAAGCTAGCAGTGGGCTCTCGGAGGTGGGAGATTGTTAGGGAAAAGCAGTAAAAGACTTTTGCGTTAGGGATTTGGTTTTTATTTGTTTTGCTTTTTTGGTATTTTTAAGACTTGTGTATATTTCAGCACTTACACAAAGTTAAGATGAATGAAGAAGGGGATAATTGCTGGGTTTACGACCTAGGTGCTAGAAGTCATGTGTGCATGGGAAGAAAGATTTCTGTCTCCCCATAGTCTCAGAAACAGGGACAAAACAATCTCTGGGCACATAGTTTATAAAAGGACAGGAAACCAGACTTTTCCTACTCAAAGTAGCTTCAGTTTTCTAGGTAAAGTGTTCTTCAGGTAGTGAAAGGAGAGATGAAATAGAATGCTAAAGAATGGTGAAGATTTCAAATAGTTACTGTAGACTCAACAAGGAAGTGACACACAGAATTGTTTCTGGGTTATGATGAAGAGTCTGTTGACTTGAACTCTGATTTGTAGCACACCAACTCTGAAGTTGAGAAATCTCAGCATACACAAACATCTATGAGAAAGTTCATATCTTTCTATTGCTGTGAAGAGTCACCATGACCATGGCAACTCTTTAAATGAAAACATTCCATTGAGGCTGGCTTACAATTCAGAGGTTTAGTCCATAGTCATCAAGGCAGGAAGCATGGCGGCCATGCAGGCAGACATGGTGCTGGAGAAGGAGCTGAGCATCCTGCATCCAGATCCCCAGGCAGCAGGAGTTGAGACACAATGGGTCTGGCTTGGGCTGTTGAAACCTCAAAGCCCACCCCCAGTGACACACTTCTCCAACAAGGCCACACCTCCAATCCTTTCAGATAGTGCCACTCTGTGATGACTAAGCATTCAAAAATATGAGTCTATGGGGGTCATTTCTTAATTCAAACCACCACAGTTCAACAAAAATAGAACGAAGAGGTAAAGACATGAAGTTTGTAGCAGGATGGTTGAAGTAATAAGGTGGGGTCGAGGTGAGTGGATATCATGACAGTAGAGAGAAAACCATCCAAGGATTAGAAATCTACCCAAACCAAAAAGAGGTGTGAAGTAATGTGTTGGAGTGTAAGATACCAGAAGTGATGACAGGTTCAGGCAGTGGGCTACAGGCAGGTCTGACTCAGGATAGCTAGGAAGTCATCCTGCTGGACATTATCGCCCAGGAGCTTTCAAGATTGGAGAAATGCTGAGACACCTGAATGTGTGGAAGCAATCACAAGCCCACACTCAACTAACTAGTCAGTGTTTTCCAATGTCATAAATTCATTGCCAATTTTTGTTTGTTTTTTTAGTACAAAGTTATTGTGCCCAAAATTGGAAATATACTAGATCTTTGTACAGCATTGTCGGCTCTATCGGGAGTGCCTGCAGAGAAGGTGAGATGTTTCTGAGGTTGAAGTACGTAAATTGGGGTTGAGTTTCTCAGTATTGTAAAACCAGCTTAATAGACATTTATTTCCTTCTAGATGATAGTCACTGACATATACAATCATAGATTTCACAGGATATTTGCCATGGATGAAAACCTCAGTAGTATTATGGAGCGGGATGACATTTACGTGTAAGTATAATATCCATTTGCAATCTATTGTTGAGGGGGTAAAAAACCTAAAGAACTAACATAAAACTTAGAGGTTATTATGGTCATTCCCACCCTCGTAGGTTTGAAATTAACATCAACAGGACAGAAGACACGGAACATGTGGTTATTCCTGTTTGCCTAAGAGAAAAATTCAGACACTCAAGTTACACCCACCATACTGGCTCTTCACTGTTCGGTCAGCCTTTTCTTATGGCTGTACCACGAAACAATACTGAAGATAAACTCTATAATCTCCTACTCTTGAGAATGTGGTAAGTGCCAAATAAGCTTTATGCAAAATAAACGCGAGACTCAAATGTAAAATAGCTAATGACTGTCGCTGTTCAAGGCACTACTGGAGTGTTACACACATCTCTGTTGCTCACAGACAGAAAACAGATGACAGCCAGGCATGGCAGTGACACACGCTGTGATTGCAGTCCAGGCTGCGACCCCACTGCATGGACTCGGCTTGGTCCCAGCACTTGATGCGGAGGCCGGACAGTCACGAATTCTGCTCCTGCCTCTCTTACGTAGCGTATTTGAGGACATACTGGGCTACATAAATGAGTGCCTCAAAACCCCCCAAATAAATAATTTTTTTTTTTTTTTTTTTC